TCCGGATTCCAGAATCCGGGACATTTTTGCTTGTGGAATCCAAAATCCGGCAATTTTTTCTTGTAGAATTCAGAATCCTGGGCTTTTTAATCCAAAATCCAAGTTCAACTGTCAAAAATCCTGAATCCAGTATCTGGAATGCGGAATCCATGGCGCGAAATTTACAGGGTCTCACTGAATATCACTCATTGTGAAGTGAGCTCCCTGTATAAAGATTGTTATTATTATTATAATTATTATTATTGTTATTATTATTATTATTATTATTATTAAATTCAGAATCCAAGATGTACTTGGATTTCCTTACATTGGGTGATTATAAACAGCCGCTTTGATATAAGCCCTGGGGCCCGTTTCTCGAAAGTCCCGGTAACTTAACCGGCCCGGAATCATATTTTTAAATCAAAGTCTCAAGAAAAGTAGGGTGTGTTCTGACCTCTAATGACGTCCATTTGTTTCGTTAGCTAATAACTCTACTGTATAATTTTCAAAACTTTTAAAACTTCCTTCTAAAATGGAAAACAAAACAGCTTAACGGGCCCGGTAATTACCGGAAGCTTCAAGAAACGGGCCCCTGGGCTTATACATCTTCTTAAGGGGTTTTAGGAAAGCTTATGCACCGAGGGACTTACAGTGTACATGTGAGGAGGCTTGTAGCCGGGAATAGAAAAAGTGCTTCGCAACAAGCTACAGCAGTGCCGATAAAAATATGTTCTGATATGTTCTTAACTAAGCTTCAAAATGTTGTAATACCTCGAAAAACATTCCCCATTAGCAGAAGCCTATTTTCCCGAATACCAGGGAAAAGAGGCCTCTTCTAGCAGGGAATAAATCAAATTCATTTCAATACATAAAAGTAACAGCTAGAGGGGGGTTTATATCCAGAGGGCTTATAATCAGATGTTTACCGGTAGATGGGCTTTTAACTGGGGGGAGGCTCAATAAGCGGAAGTTTACGGTATGAAGGAACCAGTCAAAGAAAGTGGGTTTTGACTGAATGATGATGTAAATTATCTTGCAACTGACTGACTGGGAAAGTCGCAGTATGTGACGTGCATCGTGTGACTTTGTTTCTCCACTGACGTTTCCGGTTGTTTTTTTTTGGCCAACGCTGTATCAAAAAGATTTAGTAGCAAGTGACAGAAAGTCAAATTTTTTGTTCTAAGAATAGCACAAGCATCAAAGCATAAACAGCTTGTACAAGTTTACGGAAGATCACGACGCGTAAAAGTAATGCGTTACTTTTTTGGGATTGCACCCCGTAATACACAGTATCTAAACTGGCAACCAATTAGAATTCGATTAGTCTTGCATACATCCTCGTGATATTTTTGCTGCCGCGCATCAGCCGGCAGCAGGCCATATTCTTGAGCGATTTGAGATTTTTGGTTCGATGGTTCCATGGTTCAATCAGCAAGTGCTTAGCTTCCGCGCCTGTTTTTCTCTTCAGAGCAACCCGCCATTTTGTTTTGTTCTTATGTGAGTTTAAGATCTGTGCAGAAGTTGTAGTACATCGGATGTTTGCTGTCTTTTTAAACAGCCTAAACGGTAAGGACAGTTCAAGAACTATTGTGCGGGACATTTTTTCTTTTTTTTTTTAATGCTAGGTTTCAAGATTAGTTATAGCGAGTACTTTTTGTCATACAGATTGTTATCTCGGGAATCAGGATTGTGAGTTGTGATCGGCGTATACTTTACGCCTACCTGACCCGTGAATAAACAAGTTTTGGCCTTTACGTTATTTGCTCGCAACTCTTCTCGTCATGTACACGATGATTGTTCGATGAAGAAACAGTCTATCAGCACTGCGGTTGTTAAAATGAATTACAAAATCATGTTGAAACTTTGGCGAGTCAGTATCTGAATGTAAGCATATTTGTCATTGTGATTGGTTCATTTTTTTGTATTTTACTCGGAGTGCATCATAATTCTATGTTATTGACTTTAAGAAAAAAAATTCATATGTTCAACTGTTCTTCATACTTTCTTTGTCCTATTCGCATCGCAACTCACTGCAGCACTTCCCTTCTCAATGAGAACTTCTAGTTTTATAAGTCAATACCACGAGAGAGATATTCGTTTTGAGTAACGATGCTCGTGGAAGGAGGTTTACTCTTCGTTTTATTCTAGCCCGATCTCCTGGAATTTGAACTGACACTGACAAAAGGTAAGGGAAGCGAAAGTTTCTATGTGAAACGTTGGCAAAAACAGCTTGATAATGGAGCTCTAAAAGTACACAAAAGTACTTCCGTCTTGTGGAGAGGCATAATGCGAATTTTAAAGCGTTGGTGCCCGCACTAGGATAGATTTTATGCCAGATAAATGGAAGAAAACTTATCGCTGACTAGACGAAGAGATATTGAAGGTTCCTTTCAAGCTACGTGTCATTTCTAGCGCAATTGAAGTCTAGAGTAAGGGCCAAGTCGCACTAGAGGACAAAACTGTTTGTTTATGTCAAAAATCTGTCATCACAATAAAAAACCAAGTGCAACCGGTTTGTTCACCAAAGGACAAAATTTGGTCGCAGACGGACAAACTTCAAAGATGCCGTCGACCACCTCTGGAGCAGGCCAAATTGAGACAAATTTTGGAAAACAATAGCGAGGGTGTTTTAATTCGGAAATGATTTGACAGGTGATACGTAGCAGAGTCTCTATGCTATAGACTTCGTCGTAAAACGTTCTCATTTCGCAACAACATGAATCCCTGCGCGGACGACCTATTTTTTCCGTACGAATATCCACAATATCCACCAGGATGGATCTATCCTTTGCCAGGCCCTTACATGTTTGATGATCGAGGAAATCCCAGCCCATCCCGACCACGAGTACCGACTCGTTGCCAGAATCCCTCCAGTTCAGAGAACATAGCTCAATGCCGGCATCAACCCCAATCTTCTTCGCACCGTGCATCTTCGTCAGTCGAGAACAAGAGAAGGCTCAGGACAGATGCAGTAAAGAAGAGGAGAAGCTTTTAGTTCAACTGTGGGCTGAAAAGCATGATCGGTTAGAAAGCCGAGAATCACAAGGCGCTAACAGCATGGTGTTGTGTTTTGTTCACAGATTTAGTTTTTAAGTGCGACTGTAGCTTTCCGGACAATGTTTTTTGTCACGGGCCGATTTCAAGTCGGATTTGTCCAGAACAAATCTGAAATTGCCCTCTACTTTGACTTGGCCCTAATGCCTTAAACAATTTCTTACCCCAAAGCTTGGCCTCAAGGATCGCACACTTACTTCGATTTGCATAATCTCGTATACAGTTTTACTTAATAATGAATTTGTACCTCACTTCTGATCTTGCAGGGCTAAATTACGTTTAGTGGACATTTGGTTAGTCTCTGTTTTTGTCTCGTCTCCAACAGGTGGAACGTTGCTCGATTAGCGAGGGAGACTATAACATTTGGTAGACTGAACTAATGCGCTGCAGAAGGAATACGCTTGATGAAGCCCTATATCATAAAGCCTAAAATGATCCATCGTTTAATTGAAATACATGTAACAACTGTACCGTAAATCAGATCTACATGTTGTGACACGTAACTGAACTAAGTAAGCATTTTATCTAAGAAAAGCAAGTGGAAACAAGGTTTCTAAAGCATTTCAGCGTCATGTATTTAACACGAAAAATGAAGGATTATTATGGAGCAATTCGCCTCAAGCTGTGACATGTTAAGATTGTATTTTACATTCAAGAGCCAATTAGAATGCGATCAGCCTCAGCACCTACAACCACGTGATATTATTAAGCCGATCTAAATTATATGCAAAAGGCCATGAGGTAGTTTTGATTTGAGTGAAGATGCAGGCGGCAGGAGGTTTTTTTTTAGCGCGATCTTTTAAAGTTTCCACCAGCTGAAGAGCAACAGAGATTTAGGTAAGGTCAACGAAAGCTTTGATGAAAATTTTTTTATTAAAGAACTTGATTATGGAGGTCCAAAAGTACGTGGTATCTACTTCCGCCTTATAGAAGAAACTGGGAACTTTTGGTGCTAGGATAGGTTTCATGCTAGTTTAAAAACTGATAGTTTTATTGTTCAATCGTGAAAAATTCGTCGCTGACTAAAGGAAGACACAAGTGATTGGTTCAGCTTGAGCGGTACACCATTTATATCTTTCTTTCTTGTTTGCCCTACCGACCGACCCACTTTTTTGTTTGAGACGGATGGATGAATAATAAAACATTGTTTGGGCGTGGCCTAAAATAGAATCTTCTCCTCGCATGTTACTATCTCATCTTTCCAGTTCGTCGCAGCTTTGTAGAAAGCAAAGCATGCTTTCTTCTGCATGTTTCGCACGGTGTTAGGATGGCTCGCGATGAATGGTGTTAAACCTAAATGTAAAATAAGAGTTCGGAATCCATGGATTCAGAATGCTTGCAAAGATTAATGCCTCCTCGTTTTTCGCGTTCTTTACTTTTTTGTTCCTTGGAAATGACGAAGAAACAAGGCAATGCAAGTTGGGTGCTTTTTGTTGGATTTCTGTAATCAAATGGTCATTTCGGAAATCAGCAAGCTTCTCTAACTCCCCTCGATACTTGTACGTGTCAGTCGGATCTTTTGAGTAGTACTTTAATTCTCTCTTTATTTCTTTTCCAATCTCTTCTAACACTTTATCGTGCAGTGGAGAAAATTTAGTGACGCCAACTGCGGCGGCTTTGTAGTTTTTGATTCCTAAGTTTTTTAAGAAGCTCTTCGTCACCTGTACACTCGTGTTCTATCACCCGACCACTGGAATATGTAATAAATATCTGAAAGATGAAGATAAAGACAAAAATTGATAAACAAAAATAAGAAGAACACGTGCGGGCAATTCTTATCTAATTAAGAGATTATGTATATATCGATAAACAGTTGTCAATGTCAGTTCAAATTTGTAAAGCTTCTTTTCGTTGAATATTTCTTTACCTGTATCAGAAGGAAAGAAATTAAATTATTGCATCCATTAAAAGAAACGCTAATTGCAAGTAGCTTGCAAGCTGATATGGATTCTTCGCTCGCTGTATTACAAATACCTATCCCAACGCTTATGACTAAGGCCGACAACACGATACTGCCGGCAGTGGACAATTTTTTTTTCCGTTAACTCTCCATTTCTTGCGGCTTTGCATAACGGCACAGCCCCAGCTAGTAGAATTTCATCACAAAGATAACATTTTTTACTTTTTTAGCGAGCGCCATCTGAACATCGCCGTGTAATTTTCTTTTCTCTTCCCTTGAGAGACATAGAGGGATAAAAGGGAGCGGGCAGACGTTTTCCGCGCCTCGTTGAAATGAGATTCCCGCCAATGTACGCATAGCAACTGACTTCCGGTAAATGCTGATTGGCCCATTAACTTGACAGGTAGAGCTGACGTTTGTTTATTTAAATTACAGGGCGGCTGGTGGCTTGTTAAATAAATGTATCAGGCGTTATTTTTTTTTCCATTCGCCTCGTCCGCCCTTAAAAAAAAAACGCCTGATCGCACCTAAGTCAACATCAACACTTACTTCTCACTTTGGTGACTTAGGGGAGGGGTAGGTACTCAGTCTTGGTTCTTGTTATTTTACCTGCATGAGGAGGGCAATCACGAATTGATTTTATATACGTAGTTCACTTTTGCTTGTCCCACACAGTACGAGCAAGGTGCATCATCACACTTTGTGAAATTCGGACCTTTGCAGTTGTCTGATTTGCCAACGGCATCATAGGCTATCTTACTCACTCCGGACCAACACTCACCATAGAACTGAATGCCAAAATATTCGAAGCCCTGTTTCGAAGTTGCGTTAGCACAATCACTTACGATCCTAGACAAAACAAACCAATAGACCCTTGCATGGTTATTTCAGCTTTTGACATGGGCCACTACTGGAAAAAAAAAACGTCTTGAAATAAGTGAACTTGCCAAGTTTGAGAGTGATACGTCTAAAACGAGCAAAGATATAGCTCTGCAAAGCTGCTAAAACTTATAGACGCTTGCTTGTTCCCCCGCAATACAAAGGTCTGTAAAATTTTGGCGTCTTTGAGCAGGTATGTCTTTGTCAGTTTTAAACAACTGGGCAAGTTTAATAACTTAAATAGCGCTCTTTCCAGCGAAGCCAACCGATTTTCCCTGGCTTGTCCATGTCAAAAGTTGAGAAGCTTTGGAGGTTTTAGCTTTACAATAACGCTTAAGATATAACTGGGCGTTAGGAGCCCATGACCCAAAGTAAGCAACTCCCAAATCAGACCTTTGTCACGGCGTTTTTTACAGACCGGTTTATCTTTTAAAGTGGAAGCTCTGCTCCGTCTATGATCGAGCGCATCTGACTGAGTATAAGGCATGAAAAAGGAAAGAAAACTAAACGTCTTAGTCTGCTGACTGGTTTGTGAGACCTGAAAGATAATCTAAATTCGCACCATATTTATTCTAAACATAAACTGGTTAGTGAAATAGCAGTGACACGAGTACATGGAATTTGCTCACTTAGAGTTATAGGCTTCCTCTGGGCGCTTATTGGTTGAGGGAGACCAACAGGAGAGGCCCGGGGGTACTCCTGGGAATTCTTGGTGGGAGTGTGCCGCCTGGTTCTCCAAATCCGGACCCTATCAAGTTCAGAGCAAAAATTGTCCTTTTCCACACCCATTTAAAGACCAGACCTCTAAAATCCCAACCCGTTTTCAGACCTGGCCTTTAGGCATTAATTAAGTCATAATTACCTAGATTAGAGCGCAAACAAAAAAAGTCTTCAAATGCATTTCGAATTCGCGTATTCAGGGCTCCTGGCGTATTTCTATTTCCTTCTTCATTTGGAATTGAAACGAAAACTACGTTCATGCACCCCCGTAGTTCCCTCGAAAACAATACCCGATTCCAGACAAAAATAGGCAAAGTGTATAGCCGTTTTCAGACCAAAAAGGCCCAAAAGCCATACACTTTGGGGCGGCACATACCTTATTACATGAAATGTTCCCTTCACGTTAATTTTGCGATACAAAAAAAAAATCGCGACATGAAAGTGACGCGAACAATGAGTGACGCGAACATAACATGACGCGAAAATTAAGTGACTCACGTTATGTCCATATCAAAAATGAACGAGTTTATTGCCACTGAAACGTTTACAAATCACATTTGTTACTTTTCTGAGGAATGCTCAGTGTAAATGGATGTTGTGGCCAATTGACTCAAGAACAATAATTCCGTACAAGCATGAACTGCTTTTGGACATTGTGAGAACTGTTTTATTGTTACTGTTGACATTAGTCCCCGCTGTTGCGTTTTCTTCATGATTTTGGCTTTATTGTTCCTTTGATAAAGTCATTTTACTTAATTCAAAGACATGTTAAATAACATTGAGTATGAAATGAAAATTGTACTCAAAAACGCGAAATTAAAGTGATTCAAAATATACAATTTTCGCAAATTCGCGAAATTTAAGTGTCGCGAAATGTGCGCTCATCAAAATCGCGAAATAAACATGTCGCGAAAAGTTCATGTAATAAGGTACCTATATGGCTTATATAAAGGAGTAACCCCTCCCAGGAGGAGTAGCCTGGGTAGCAGGCGCTTGGAAGTAGTGGGCGCAAGAAAGAACGAGCGCGTGAGAGGGAGACACGCGAGGGGAGATTGAGCGTGTCTCTCGCGCGCCGTTCTTTCTTGGGCCTGCTACGCAGGTTACGGAAGGAGGGGAAACAAGGATGGGACAGTGAAGAAAACAATACACTAATAGGGCTCGCAAAAACTCCTGTCCGGTAGTCCTTGACAAGTAGGAGTCAAGAAGGTTTCTGCAAGTGACTGTTAAGGGTACTTGCCCAATGGGTGAGGGCTAGCTAGGCAAGTTTTTCTCCAAAAAAATCATTATATAACTAAGACGAAAAACAATTGGCCCCTGGCAATTAAAATGTGAGAGCTAATTGTCCAAAGTACAAGCTAGAATTCAACCAATTTTCGAGCACTGCCTAAATTTGATACAGGCTTGTATCTCGAAGCTCAGGGCTCGAGGTGACGAGCATAAATCGGTTGATTCGGTGCTAGTTCTTAAATGCCTCCTCGTTTTTCGCGTTCTTTACTTTTTTGTTCCTTGGAAATGACGAAGAAACAAGGCAATGCAAGTTGGGTGCTTTTTGTTGGATTTCTGTAATCAAATGGTCATTTCGGAAATCAGCAAGCTTCTCTAACTCCCCTCGATACTTGTACGTGTTCGTCGGATCTTTTGAGTAGTTCTTTAATTCTCTCTTTATTTCTTTTCCAATCTCTTCTAACACTTTATCGTGCAGTGGAGAAAATTTAGTGACGCCAACTGCGGCGGCTTTGTAGTTTTTGATTCCTAAGTTTTTTAAGAAGCTCTTCGTCACCTGTACACTCGTGTTCTATCACCCGACCACTGGAATATGTAATAAATATCTGAAAGATGAAGATAAAGACAAAAATTGATAAACAAAAATAAGAAGAACACGTGCGGGCAATTCTTATCTAATTAAGAGATTATGTATATATCGATAAACAGTTGTCAATGTCAGTTCAAATTTGTAAAGCTTCTTTTCGTTGAATATTTCTTTACCTGTATCAGAAGGAAAGAAATTAAATTATTGCATCCATTAAAAGAAACGCTAATTGCAAGTAGCTTGCAAGCTGATATGGATTCTTCGCTCGCTGCATTACAAATACCTATCCCAACGCTTATGACTAAGGCCGACAACACGATACTGCCGGCAGTAGACAATTTTTTTTTCCGTTAACTCTCCATTTCTTGCGGCTTTGCATAACGGCACAGCCCCAGCTAGTAGAATTTCATCACAAAGATAACATTTTTTACTTTTTTAGCGAGCGCCATCTGAACATCGCCGTGTAATTTTCTTTTCTCTTCCCTTGAGAGACATAGAGGGATAAAAGGGAGCGGGCAGACGTTTTCCGCGCCTCGTTGAAATGAGATTCCCGCCAATGTACGCATAGCAACTGACTTCCGGTAAATGCTGATTGGCCCATTAACTTGACAGGTAGAGCTGACGTTTGTTTATTTAAATTACAGGGCGGCTGGTGGCTTGTTAAATAAATGTATCAGGCGTTATTTTTTTTTCCATTCGCCTCGTCCGCCCTTAAAAAAAAAACGCCTGATCGCACCTAAGTCAACATCAACACTTACTTCTCACTTTGGTGACTTAGGGGAGGGGTAGGTACTCAGTCTTGGTTCTTGTTATTTTACCTGCATGAGGAGGGCAATCACGAATTGATTTTATATACGTAGTTCACTTTTGCTTGTCCCACACAGTACGAGCAAGGTGCATCATCACACTTTGTGAAATTCGGACCTTTGCAGTTGTCTGATTTGCCAACGGCATCATAGGCTATCTTACTCACTCCGGACCAACACTCACCATAGAACTGAATGCCAAAATATTCGAAGCCCTGTTTCGAAGTTGCGTTAGCACAATCACTTACGATCCTAGACAAAACAAACCAATAGACCCTTGCATGGTTATTTCAGCTTTTGACATGGGCCACTACTGGAAAAAAAAAACGTCTTGAAATAAGTGAACTTGCCAAGTTTGAGAGTGATACGTCTAAAACGAGCAAAGATATAGCTCTGCAAAGCTGCTAAAACTTATAGACGCTTGCTTGTTCCCCCGCAATACAAAGGTCTGTAAAATTTTGGCGTCTTTGAGCAGGTATGTCTTTGTCAGTTTTAAACAACTGGGCAAGTTTAATAACTTAAATAGCGCTCTTTCCAGCGAAGCCAACCGATTTTCCCTGGCTTGTCCATGTCAAAAGTTGAGAAGCTTTGGAGGTTTTAGCTTTACAATAACGCTTAAGATATAACTGGGCGTTAGGAGCCCATGACCCAAAGTAAGCAACTCCCAAATCAGACCTTTGTCACGGCGTTTTTTACAGACCGGTTTATCTTTTAAAGTGGAAGCTCTGCTCCGTCTATGATCGAGCGCATCTGACTGAGTATAAGGCATGAAAAAGGAAAGAAAACTAAACGTCTTAGTCTGCTGACTGGTTTGTGAGACCTGAAAGATAATCTAAATTCGCACCATATTTATTCTAAACATAAACTGGTTAGTGAAATAGCAGTGACACGAGTACATGGAATTTGCTCACTTAGAGTTATAGGCTTCCTCTGGGCGCTTATTGGTTGAGGGAGACCAACAGGAGAGGCCCGGGGGTACTCCTGGGAATTCTTGGTGGGAGTGTGCCGCCTGGTTCTCCAAATCCGGACCCTATCAAGTTCAGAGCAAAAATTGTCCTTTTCCACACCCATTTAAAGACCAGACCTCTAAAATCCCAACCCGTTTTCAGACCTGGCCTTTAGGCATTAATTAAGTCATAATTACCTAGATTAGAGCGCAAACAAAAAAAGTCTTCAAATGCATTTCGAATTCGCGTATTCAGGGCTCCTGGCGTATTTCTATTTCCTTCTTCATTTGGAATTGAAACGAAAACTACGTTCATGCACCCCCGTAGTTCCCTCGAAAACAATACCCGATTCCAGACAAAAATAGGCAAAGTGTATAGCCGTTTTCAGACCAAAAAGGCCCAAAAGCCATACACTTTGGGGCGGCACATACCTTATTACATGAAATGTTCCCTTCACGTTAATTTTGCGATACAAAAAAAAAAATCGCGACATGAAAGTGACGCGAACAATGAGTGACGCGAACATAACATGACACGAAAATTAAGTGACTCACGTTATGTCCATATCAAAAATGAACGAGTTTATTGCCACTGAAACGTTTACAAATCACATTTGTTACTTTTCTGAGGAATGCTCAGTGTAAATGGATGTTGTGGCCAATTGACTCAAGAACAATAATTCCGTACAAGCATGA